TTCCTGTTTGCTTTTCAAAAAAGTGAGGGGCATTTCTGTCTCACTCATCGTGCCAATTTTTTCATTTAGATGGTCATATGCCGAGGTGGTATTTCCCAACAGTGATTTTGAAATTTTTTACACAGATTTCACAATTAATGGGAAAAACGGTTGCCTAATATTATTTCTCCTAAACTTCTATCAAACATGGTATAATTCAATACCCACCCTCACTTACCTAGCAATCCTAAAATAATCCACCTACCAAAAGTCTTTTTGAAATGTGTGTCAAATGAGTGCGTGTCAACGGAATAAAATGAGTATTTTGTTATCAGCCATCACAGCTCGGCTAAAATGGCAGTGTTTTAAGTTGGGGTGTTATTAATCTCATGTTAAATGAGATAAATTATCTTATGTCATAAAAATAAACATGTGAGCCCTACTACCTTAAAAAAAAAAAAATTAATAGGGGTAAGATGTTGTAACAACCAATTAGGGTTACTACCAATCAATTTCACCGTTAGATCGATTATGTTGATCCAATGATTATATTTATTTCCATCTTTGTATGGTTATGATTCCCCATATTTAACGTGAAAGCATTAAATATGAAAAATTATAACCATACAAAGGTAAAAATAAATATAAAGTATTAAATATGGGGAATCATAACCATACAACAATAGAAATAAATATAAACGTTGGATTAACATAACCGATCTAACGGTGAAATTGATTGGTAGTAACATTGGTAATAACCATAATTAGTTGTTATAATATCCTACTGTTGTGCAATTTGTAATCAATTAAATCTTCCACACAAATACGCAAGTGCGCGTGTCACAAGTAATAAAGGGATGTGTGAGTCCAAGTATCGTTCCCACGGAGATAAGTGTCAAGTAATGATTATTTAGGTGAAGAAAATAGGTAAAATAATTAATTGTGATGATTGGATTGGTAAAATAAAAGACAATTAAATTTAAGAAAACAGTAAACTAATTCTAAAGTATTAAAATGATGGATGAGATATAGGTCAGGTTCAATTTCCCTGATACAGCAATACTGAAACAATGTTTTAACAATGTTATATCAATGTTTAATTAGTAACCGAACACTAAGGTATGCTGGGGCTTTTGGCCAACCTAACATATATACCCAATAATTAATTCTCACATCTCTATGGCCAAACTAATCATTGAATTATTCAAGCTCAAGTTCTAGGCTATGTGGTGTGAATGATCTCTCTACCCACAACTTAATTAAGTTAACTTAACCTAATTAATCCACACAATTCAACAAGGGTCTGGATTCGGAAACCTCTCGGCCCTAACCTCCTCAATATCACATATGTATCTCTCGACATGCACACATGAATAAGATTAAGCAAACTCGTTGAATAACTAATTAAACATTAACATAAACAAAGTTTAGGCATACATCTCAATGTTACAGCATAAATACTTTATCACATAACCTATAGAGCAAATTAGCTCATAATGGAATTAGATAAAACAGAGAAAAGAAAGGAAGAACTCATTGAAAAACAGAAAAGAAGATGAAAATGAATGCTGTAGGAAAACATCGTCACTGCCTTGCTCCAGCACTGCTCCAGCAGCTCTTCCCTCTCAAAGAACCTTACTTTCTCTCTCTAAAACGATCCCACTTGCTTCTGACTTCTCGAACCTTGAACCTCTCTGAATTCTCTCTAAAATTGTGCTTTTGTTCGTGGGGGAACTCTTTTTTAAATAGGAAAAATGGTTGGAAAATTGGGCTTTAGGGTTAGGAGTGAAAAGCTATGAATCTTGTTGGTGCATCCTTATCGTATCCCTAGATTCTTGGGTTGTTGGCACTTGCTTGGATAAGATCTTGATCTTCTTGAATTTCTTGTGCCAATATTGTTGTTGACCGAATGTGAAGTTGTTATCCTTGTTCCTTGGGATTTTGGTATAAGATTATATCTTCAGAAACGTCCTTTACTTGCTGGTGTATTGTTGGAGAATAGCTAACTTTTGAATTTCAAAAGTTCGGTTCTCCCTTTGTCCACGCTGTCATGCTGTAGCGATTGCTATGTCATCAATTCTTCAGCTTCTTTGCTACAGCACTACTACGTCAATTTTTCCTGCAAAGTCAAACACTCAACAAGTCATCTTTTCTTATACAAAATCAAGAAATATTGTCTTATTTTCCATACTTAGTCATCTCAAAGCACATGAATATACAATAATTAGCTCAATTATCATGCAAAGAGGTCAACTTATATGGAATTTATGCAACAAATTTATCATAAAAATACTAAATTAATTCTCATTTGAGAGAGTTATCACCTCCCCAAATTAATATCATATAACATGATAATAATTTTTCCTTTTAACTTGTGTTGCTGAATAACAAACACCAGCATTTTGAGCCTTAGCAAAATGGCAGCCTATATCATTGGCCAATGGAGCAAAAGTAACAAATCGAAACTGCACACTATCGGATAAGAAAAAATGGTCCACTAACAGTAAACATAAGTATCCAACATGATTTGTAAATACACAGTAAGAAAAATAAAACAATTTTCAGTTAATAAAATTCATATTTACATTATAAAATAGATTTAATAGATAATTTAGAATTTTTTCTCTTGAAACTCAGTAATAGTAAGTAATTCATTATGAGTTTGATGACAAAAACTAATAGAAGATTTTCCTTGTAATAAACTACAAAGAAATCTACTAATCGACCTAGTTTGTATTTATTAATGTAAGAAAAAAAATTATATTAGATTTATTTTAAAGTCGTTCGATCCTAGATGAATTGATGTGTCCAATCAGATATTGATGAGTCTATATAGGATCAATATGTTTTTAGGTACCTATGAGAGAAATATCTTAGGAGATTGTAGATCACATTGCACTATGATAAATAATGTAGCCAGGCGTGTGCACAATGACAATTAAGAGAGAGCATAAAGTGCGTACCTGGTAGCCTTAATCTCTTATTTATAGATGATTGCTTGTTTTTTTTTTTTTTTTTTTGGAAATAATAGGAAATTAAAACAAAAACACAACAAAAAGAAACTAGGCACAAAGCCTAGACCAGTGAACACCTATAGTGTCACCATACAGACTATCAATACAACCTGACGGTGGACAATCAAATTCCTGAATTACCCAAGAGAAACCATAAGAGTAAGAGGCTAGAAAGTCCGCTACTCTATTTCCTAGATGATTGCTTGTTAGGTATGGAATTTTGTGACTCTTAGGAATATTGAGAGTCTAATTTTTTTTTTTTTTTTGTAAATGAGAGTCTAATATTTTATCCTCTGAAGATACAAGAAAATTGATATCTTAGTATACATGATCCTTTCCTTATTTCTCTCTTAATTAATTACCCTTTGTGGGCCTTTAGAAAATAAGCCCATAAGTTGGATCCATAACAAAAGTTAATCATACAAAGTATAATAACTTGAACATAAGCTTATACCAAAAAAAATAAAATGAGAAAGTAAACAAACAAAACAAATAATTCAATAATCAAAAACTGAAATGATTAGTAAATTTTAATTAGATAATGAAAACTAGGTCTGAACAATTTTTATGAATTAAATCAATCACATGCTGATAAATTATTGTTTTACTTTAAATAGCTATGCAAATTGTGTAAGTAAAATTACACATTTCAATATTAAAACTATTATTTTTTGGTAAACTATTAAAACTATTTTATAATAGTGTAAGTTACAATTTCAATTAATTTTATTTATATAAAATGATTTTAATTTTTTTAATCATGTGAGTTATTGAATATGCATGGAACAATGATAAGAAACGAACATATTTTTTTTTATTAATGAAATTATTGCATAAAATATTGTGCTGGATACATTAAAAAAAGATATACAAGACAATTCTACCACATACAATAAAAATATTTCCATTGGATCAAATTTTAGACAAAAATATCTTTTCCAACGAGTCTTAGGGGAAAACAAAATAAAATAAAAACAACACCATTTTACTTATGGAAAAAATATTTATTCTTTTAAAAAAATATAATTTTATATCATTTTAGATTCTAATCATTGATTTCAGCAACTAACGGTTAGAATTTATTGAGTTTTATTATAAATTATTAATTAATTAATAAATTTGACCCAATAAATTCTAATTGTTAATTGAAGAAAATCAACGATTAAGATCTAAAATGACATAAAATTATGAGTTTGTTTGGATTCTCTTATTTTTAAGCTAGAAGCTACTTATAAGCTAAAGCTAAAAAAAAGAGCTTAAATAAAGAAACTAAGTGCCTGTTTGGATCCTCTTATTTTTTAGCTAGAAGCTACTTATAAGCATAAGCTAGGCCAAACAGGTTTTGGAAAAAGCTCTTATAACGAAAAGCTCCTTTTTTTATAATGAAGAAAAAGCTGAAAATTAAAAGCTCCTAGGAGGAGCTTTTTTTTAAGCTCTTATCTGTTTTTCTTGAATTATGTACTTTTTTTTTAAATGAAGAGTGATAAAGATAGAAAAAGAGATAATTTTCTTGAAATATGTGCTTTTAAGTAATTTTTAAGCTAATTTTTTTTTGTAATTTCCAAACAGCTTTTAGCTTTTCTTTTTAAGCTCTTTATTTTAGCTTTATCTTATAAGTAGCTTCTAGCTTAAAAATAAGAGGATCCAAACAGGCTCTAAAAGCTGTTTGAAAATTACATAAAAATTTTAGCTTAAAATTTACTTAAAATCACATATTCCAAGAAGATTATCTCTCTCTATCTTAATCACTTTTCGTTTTAAAAAAACACACAATTCAAGAAAAACAGATAAGAGCTTAAAAAAAAGCTCTTCCTAGGCGATTTTAGTTTTCAGCTTTTTCCTTCATTATAAAAAAAGAGTTTTTCATTATAAGAGCTTTTCTCAAAATATATTTGACCTAACTTATGTTTATAAGTAACTTATAGCTTAAAAAAGAGAGAGGATCCAAACAGATATTATATACAAATAATTTTCCCATTATTTATTTATTTACTTTTTTAGAAAACCCTTAAATTCTTAAACCCTTAAACCTTCTCAAATGGTATCGTAAAGAAGGGGGAAAGGGGCCAGAAGACGCAGCAGAGTTCAATAGCGACGATAAAATTGAGAGTTTTCAAAGAAAATTTGATATCACACATTACAAGGTGAGTAGAATAACGTTTTGCTTCATTCTTCATTTGTGGGTTTTGCTTCAACTATTTCTCTATGAGAGTCGCATTGCGTCTCTTTCTGTTGAGTTCAGAATAAGATTCGTAAACGTTATCTTCTGATTCTGGGTTCCTTGATTTCTTGTTTGCCCCTAATTTTGGTTTTCTATTTGTTGGGTTCTATTATTATTAGTATGGAAAATAAAAAATTTCAAAAAAATAAAAAAAATTTGTGATTCTTTAAAAAAATTGTTTTTGTATGGTATTTCAGTTTTGAAGGTGTTGCTTCTTCCCCTTTTTTATTTTTTAAATTTCTTATTTATTAGAACCTCTGTGAGCTTTTTATCTTATCTATTGCTGGAACCTTATAGTGCCAAATCAATCATCATCATTGTTGAAACATAAGAGAAATGGAAAAAAAATAAAATAATAATATCTAGCTTGATTCCTTGTTCAGGGGTTATTTTTTGGGTTCGGATTTTAATTTTTTTCATCACATGTTGTCCCTCTATCTTTGTTGTTTTTACCAATCACTGGTATGTTTCCTTTTTTTTTTTTTTTTTTTGTTCTTTTGTCAGTGAAAGTGCTTCATCCTTTGAAAAGGACTAGTCATTGCTGTATGTAAAAATTTATGCTGATTAGGTGAGTGAAAAAGAAATAAATACATGTCAAAAATTTATGCTGATGAAGTGAAGGAAAGATTATGGGGACATTGGAGAAAAAAATGAGAAAAGCAAAGTTAGGTAGTGTTTGATTTATTTTGTTTACTTTTTCAGTTGATATGTCTTCACTAATAGCTACAAAAATGCCTCCTTGTTTCATTTTGTTCCCTGTTTTTAAGCCTTTGCATAGGAAATGTTGAAAACAACAAAATGTTGTTTTCACCATTTCCTTCACAATGTCTTGGAAAGACGAAACAATGTCAACACAAGCTGACAATTTTGTGAGAAATGAAACCATATCAATTGAAAATGAAATAGTTTGGGATGTAATCAAACCAGATCAACTAGATTTTGATACTCAAAACTAATGATGCCCATTGTTGACAGTGAGTATCAGATGGATCACTTTGCAGCAGCTGAGGAGCAAATTGCTTCACAGAGACTGAGGCAGAAACTCGATGAAGTGAATGTAGCTGCTCAAACTAATCTTGCTCCTGTCCAAGACCATGTCAATTTTACTCTCCAGGTTCTTTCTGGTCTCTGTCATAAGTACTTCAATGGTTGTTTTGACTTTTGGTGCAGTACTTTGTCTTTCATCGGAAAATTCGATGGTTTTATGGCTTGATGACTAGAAACAATATGGGAATTGGGACCTAGAAAGTTGTATCTGGCTAGCTGATTTTTTGTCCCACATTATTTCTTTGTTTCTGGTTTTATTTCAAATGATTGTACTTGTTAGAATATTAGATATGATATGATTAGATTTGATTAGATATGATTGGATTCTGTCTTATCCGTAAATAGTCTGACTGTATTCTGACTGTATTAGGATTAGGTTTGGATTAGGTTTGGGCCTTACACTTAAGCCCATTAGGGTCTCTATATATTGTAACTCCCTGACACAGATCAATACACAACTAGTCTGACTGTATTCTGACTGTATTAGGATTAGGTTTGGATTAGGTTTGGGCCTTACACTTAAGCCCATTAGGGTCTCTATATATTGTAACTCCCTGACACAGATCAATACACAACGTATTCTTTTACATTTAATTTGGTATCAGAGCTCTTTCGTTCTAGGAACCCTCGCTTCCGCTCAGAAACCTTGTTTTTTGCTTTAAAAACCTAAGCCCACTGCTTAGGAGTCCTCTTTCTTGCCGTGCGTCCTTCCGGCAAGCCTTCTAGGGCTGTAAACAGCCTCTGAGTGATTTTTCCAAACGCGTCAGCACCTCCGACAGCCACCGGAACCACCGCCCGCCGTCAGAATCACTGTTCAGGCAACCGGAGACTTTTTCCGGCGACTTTTCCGACCAAACTTCACGCGATCAGGACCCTTTCTTCCCGGCGACCAGGTCTGTGGTGGTCCGGTCAGCAACGCATCTCCCACGCGCCGTCACGCGCCACCTGTCTTCACTGCGCGTGGGCTTCACGCGCCACCTTCTGCCGGCGCGTGAGCACTATTCCGGCGCCTTTTTCCGGCCGGTCTTGGACAGAGAAGCTCGCCTTCTCCTCCCCTTTCTGGATCTGTGATTGTTTCTCTGTGGGTCTGACCTTAGACGCGTGGTTCTTCTTGATTGGATATCGTTTGCCTTCGTTTACGGCTTTTATATTTTATCTTTAAATGGCAGCAGCATCTCCTGATCTCTCGGAGGTTAACTCTCCTTCTATTGTTGCAAATATAGCTCAGTCAGACAAAGCATCATTTGGTTCAGGTTCAGACTGTGCTGCACTCCAAACCCCTCTCAGGAAGGCTTCTCCTCAGTCTCAGCCTTATACTGGTAATCCCGTTGCTTGTGTTTCTCATTCTACATCACTTGGATATTTGACTCCGGTGCTACCGATCATCTCTGTGGTAATAAGGAACTCTTTACATCTCTTACTTATTCTGATCATTTACCGTCTTTTACCCTTGCGGATGGAACCAAAGCCCAGTTTGTGGGATTGGACAAGCTCGTTCGACCTCTACCTTGGCCCTGACATCTGTCTATTACATTCCTGGCATCCCTTATAACTTAATTTCTATTAGTAAGTTGATCCACTCCCTCACTTGCACCATTACTTTCTCTAACCATTCTGTTTCTGTGCAGGATCCGGGTACGGGAAAAATGATTGGAGTGGGTCGTGAGTCACGGGGGCTTTATTATCTGGATGTGCCTCGTCCTTCAGTAGCATGCTCTCTCACAGAATGTCCACAACTTATCCACAGTCGCCTTGGTCATCCAAGTCTTTCAAAGTTGCAGAAAATGGTTCCTCTTTTGTCCGGTCTTCAGTCTTTAGATTGTGTGTCATGTCAACAAGGGAAGCATACACGCTCCTCTTTTGCCAGTCGAGTCAATAAACGAGCTGATGCCCCTTTTTCTCTTGTTCATTCAGATATCTGGGGTCCAAGTCGTACCTTGTCTGTCTTAGGTTTTCGGTATTTCGTTACCTTTATTGATGATTTTTCCCGTTGCACTTGGACCTATTTAATGAAAAATCGTTCTGAGTTATTTTCCATTTATAAAAAGTTTTCTACTGAGATCCATACTCAATTTGGTGTTTCTATTCGTATTCTACGTAGTGATAATGCTAAGGAATATGTTTCTATTGATTTTTCTAATTTCTTGGCCACACAAGGTACTTTACATCAAACTACTTGTCCTCACACTCCACAACAAAATGGGGTGGCTGAACGTAAAAACAGACATCTCATTGAAACTGCCCGTACCCTTCTTATTCATATGCAGGTTCCTCTTCACTTCTGGGCAGATGCTGTACTCATCTCTTGTTTTCTCATCAATCACATGCCTTCATCTGTGCTCCACAATGACATTCCTCATAATCTATTGCTTCCAGATGTTCCTCTTTATCCTCTAACTCCACATGTCTTTGGTTGTACTTGTTTTGTTCATGATCTCACTCCTGGTAAGGATAAGTTAACATCCAAAGCCTTTCAGTGTATCTTTCTTGGTTATTCTCGTCTTCAAAAGGGTTATCGTTGTTATTCTCCCGACCTTAAGCGTTACTTAGTTTCCGCTGATGTCACTTTTCTTGATCAACAACCCTTTAATTCTATCCCATCTCAGATGTCACAGGTTGATCATGTACTTCCTGTCCCTTTTCTTGACTTGTCTTTGCCAGCTGCAGGTGCTTCTATTCCAGATGAGCAACCTATTGCTTCTATACCTGAGGACCGTCCACTTCTCACCTATCAGCGTCGCAAAACTGTGCCTCCTGTCGACTCGACTCTTGCTGACTCATCGCCCACTGCTGTTGCTTCTTCCCCTCCGGATCCTTCATCAGAGACTCTTCCCATTGCTCAAAGAAAATGTACACGTACTACTCGTAACCCTTATCCTCTTTATACCTTTTTGAGTTATGACCGTCTTTCTTCACCTCATTTCACCTTTGTTTCTAGTCTTTCTTCTATTTCTATTCCTAAGACCACAGGTGAAGCACTTTCCCATCCAGGGTGGCGTCAAGCAATGCTTGATGAGATGACTGCACTTCATTCCAACGGCACTTGGGACCTTGTTTCTGCTCCTCCAGAGAAGTCTATAGTTGGTTGTCGCTGGGTTTTTACTGTGAAAGTTGGACCTGATGGCCATATTGATCGTCTCAAGGCACGTTTAGTTGCCAAGGGTTTTACTCAAATCTTTGGCCTTGATTATAGCAATACATTTTCTCCGGTCGCTAAGATGGCGTCAGTCCGCCTCTTTCTTGCCCTTGCTGCTGTTCGTCACTGGCCACTCCTTCAACTTGACATCAAAAATGCCTTTCTTCACGGTGATTTACAAGAAGAAGTTTACATGGAGCAACCACCTGGTTTTGTTGCTCAGGGGGAGTCTGGAAAGGTGTGTCGTCTTCGGAAATCCTTATATGGTCTCAAGCAGTCTCCTCGAGCATGGTTCAGTCGTTTCAGTTCTGTTGTTCAGGCGTTTGGCTTAATCCGCAGTAAAGTTGACCATTCTGTGTTTTATAGGATTACATCTCCTGATAAGTGTATCTATTTGTTAGTCTATGTTGACGACATCATTCTCACCGGAAGTGATCAAGACGGAATTCGTCAGTTAAAACAGCATTTGTTTAGTACATTTAAAACAAAGGACCTTGGGAAGCTGCGTTACTTCTTGGGAATTGAGGTGGCGCAATCAAGACAGGGCATTTCTATTTGTCAAAGGAAATATGCCTTGGATATCCTAGAAGAAACTGGTATGTTGGGGAGTAAACCAGTTGATACACCTATGGATCCTAATGTCAAATTATTACCCGGACAGGGGGAGCCGTTCTCTGATCCTGGACGTTATCGGAGGCTAATTGGGAAGCTCAATTATCTTACTGTGACTAGGCCAGATATTTCTTTCGCTGTCAGTACGGCTAGTCAGTTGCTTGATTCCCCTTGTGATTCACATTGGGATGCTGCTGTGAGGATCCTCCGATACATCAAAGGAGCACCAGGAAAAGGTTTGTTGTATTCGGATCAGGGAAATACAGAAATTTGTGGTTACTCAGATGCCGATTGGGCAGGATCACCCTCGGACAGACGCTCTACTTCTGGTTATTGTGTCTTCTTCGGAGGAAACTTAATCTCATGGAAAAGCAAGAAACAACCTGTTGTTTCCCGATCTAGTGCAGAAGCTGAGTATCGTGCAATGGCAAATACTACCTGTGAGTTGATTTGGTTAAAGCAGTTGATTCAGGAGCTTCATCTTTGTGAACAGAAACAACCCATGACACTCATCTGTGATAATCAAGCTGCGCTACATATATCCTCTAATCCTGTTTTTCATGAGAGGACCAAACATATAGAGATTGATTGTCACTTCATTCGGGAAAAGATTCAGTCAGGAGAAATCAAGACAGCTTTTGTCAACTCGTCTAATCAACTAGCAGATGTTTTCACTAAAGCTCTTAGAGGTCCTCGGGTTGAATACATTTGTAACAAGCTTGGTGCTCATAATATATACGCACCAGCTTGAGGGGAAGTGTTAGAATATTAGATATGATATGATTAGATTTGATTAGATATGATTGGATTCTGTCTTATCCGTAAATAGTCTGACTGTATTATGACTGTATTAGGATTAGGTTTGGATTAGGTTTGGGCCTTACACTTAAGCCCATTAGGGTCTCTATATATTGTAACTCCCTGACACAGATCAATACACAACGTATTCTTTTACATTTAATTGTACTAATGATATTCCTTTGTTCTTATAAGTCATAAATGCAAAATATTACACGGCATGGTTTTTATATTTCTTGGTAGTGAAGGTTTAGACTTTCTGTACCGTAAGTCCTATATTTTCTTTCCCACCAAATGGATTTATAGTAGATCGATATTAGTTTTGCATACAATGGGAGTATGTAGCAAGTACTTTTGTGGAAGAATCAGAGTTTCAATTCCGTATAGTTGATTGTTTGATTGAATAATTGCAGAAAGCCTATTTTAAATGTGCATATGAGTGCTTTGATAGAAGCAGAAGGCAGGAAGAGATAAGCAATTGCGTTGAAAATTGCAGTATTCCTCTTTCTAATGTGCAACAGACGTTTGATAATGAGATGGCAAAGTTTCAGGTAACCTACCCTGTAATTCTGTAATCATATTATTTCTCTCTTTTTATTTATTTTATTATTGGTTATTACTTCTTTAAATTTGCTAAGAATGTATAAAATTATTAAGGAAGGTCTTATGAATTAAAGAAAGCCTTGACCCTCGAATCACGGATGATCAATTGGGGATTGGTTCTTGGTGATTGATTGACAATTATAGAATTGTATACTCTTCCCTATAGTTCCTGTATATTTTGGCCTTCAGCCTTTTCTATTGTCTCCTTTTCGCTGCCTCTCTTTCGCTCCCCAACTCCGACACACTTTTATTTTCTTTCTGTAATAAATTTTAACATGGTATAAGAGTAGTGCCATCCATTGTGATTTGAACTAACCATTGTTTAAGTTGTATGGGTTAGAGTTTTCTAATTTGTTGTTTCCTCTTCTAGTTTAGTTACCAAAATAATTAGTCATCCACTTTTCTTTTCTTGCCTTTAGTTTGTTGACATTGTTAGTCACTTCTCTGTTTGTCAAATCAACTATCTGACTTGACTATTGTGTTAAAAGGGTTCTTTTCAGAATTTTTTCCAGGTTGAAAATCCCAAATTTTGGTTTGATTTTCGAATTGTAAATTATGATACGATATATGATTCGATACTGAATCGTACGATACAACGATTCATGGTTTTATACAAGAACAATTCTGTTGTAAATAATTATTGTTTTATATATTATTTATTGTTGTATTCTAGAATCTTCTTTTGGGCTTAGCTCGATAGGTCAGTTAGTCTCTTTAAATAGAGAACCCTTTGTACAGTTGTAATAACAATTCAATAATATATTTTCCTTCCATTTTTCAAGTTGGTATCAGAGCTCTCGATTATGAGAGCTCTGCTTCCGCAACTGCTGTCTTTAGAGCGAAACCCTATTTGTTTGCCTCTGGTCGCTACAGAAAAAAATTTCGAGGACTGAGAGGACTTTTGTTTGACCCCCCCCCCCCCCCCGATCTATCAGTGTACAGACGTTACCGTTCATCATGTACTATTCATCGCATTACTGTTCATCGCGCACTATTCACCGCCTGAGTCTGAAGTGTTTGGGTGTGTTTATGTGTGTTTTTTTGTGTGCCTCTTATTGCTGTTTTTGATCTATTTTTCGCATTATGGCCAACTCTGATGATGATTTGACTGTTGCACAGCCTGTTGCGGCCCGGCTTGGTCCTAATGATCTTCCTTCTCTACATGATTTGACTGTTGCACAGCCTGTTGCGGCGCCGCTTGGTCCTAATGATCTTCCTTCTCTACATCAGAGTTATCGACTTGATGGGTCAAATTATTTATTATGGTCTCGGCTTATTCGCACTACCATCAAGAGTCGCAATAAGATTGCTCATCTTGATGGCCCTGCTCCTGCAACCTCTGATCCTAAATTTGCTATCTGGGATATTGAGGATTCCCTTATTATGACTTGGTTATGGAGCTCAATGACTCTTGAAGTGGGTCGTCACTGCATGTTTTTGTCTTCTGCTAGGGAGATTTGGGAAACTGTCCGCTCAACCTACTCCTTGAAACAAGATATGGCTGCGCTTTATGAATTGCGCAATAAAATCTTTTCTACTAAACAGGACTCCTTATCTGTGACAGCTTATTATGGTGTTATGAAGGAATTATGGACTGAGCTTGACCAATTTCAGAGTTTGAAGATGCAATGTACTGCGGATGCTACTGCCTTAGCCAAAGAGGTGGAAAATGAGCGTATTTTTGGTTTTCTTGCTGGGTTAAATTCCGAATACGATCCTATTCGGGTTCAGATACTTGGCAAAGACACATTACCATCCCTTTCTGCTGTTTTCAATACTGTTTGGGGTGAGGAGACCCGTCGGGGAGTTATGATGCACCCCAACACATCAGATAAGTCTGCTATGCTATCATCCTCTGAGGCAGTTGCTGTTTCTAGACCCATTGATGGGTCTGCTATGATCTCAGCAAAAAGGAATGGCTCTTCTCAAGGGGGTTCCTTCACCAAATCTGGTGATGGTGCATCCTCCAGATCCAAGAAAGATGATCGCCGGTGTTCCTATTGTAGAAGGGCAGGTCATATCAAGGATCTATGCTTTCGCCTCCATGGAAAGCAAAATGTCTTGGACAAGATGGCAAAAATGCGTGGTCAAGCTCATTTAGTTCCCTCTGATGTGATTACTGCTCCTAATGAGACACAATCTGCATCTTCGGAATTTACTTTTATACGCCAAGATGAGTTGGAGCAGATTCGGACTATACTTGATTCTCTGAGTAAGACATCTGGTACTAGTGCTTTGGCTATGACTGGTATGAGCTCTACTACTCATTCTTTTCTTGCTTCTTGTGCTGATTTTAAGCATTCTTGGATTATCGATTCTGGTGCTATTGATCATATGACTTGTTGTGCTGACTCCTTTCTTTCTTATAACACTATTGTTGGCACCCATACAATAACCCTAACTGATGGCTCACACACATCAGTTGCGGGTTCTGGTAACATATTCTTATAGTCTTCCTTACTTCTCCAAAATGCTCTTCATGTTCCCAAACTCTCCACTAATATTCTTTCTATCTATAAAATTACCAAAGATTTGAATTGCACTGTAACCTTTTTTCCTACTCACTGTTTTTTAGGATCTCACCATAGAGAAGACGATTGGGGGTGCTAAGGAGCGGGGTGAGCTGTACTATTTGGTTCCAGAATCTTCCACAGAAGATGTTAAGTATCACCTTTTGCTGACTCATGGCCAGTCCACTACTGATTCTTTGATTTGGCTTTATCATCAACGCTTGGGGCATCCTCCATTTAGTTTGCTTAATTCTTTATTTTCATCGTTATTTTTGTCTAAGTCTGTTGAGTCTTTTCATTGTGATGTTTATGAATTTGCAAAACAACATCGTGTGTCTTTTCCTTCTAGTACCATTAAAAGTGTTGAACCTTTTGATCTTATTCATTCTGATGTTTGGGGTCCTTCTAAAATTCCTAATGCTTCTGGTAATAAATGGTTTGTTTTTTTATTGATGATTGCACTCGTGTAACCTGGATTTACTTAATGCATGAAAAGTTCGAGGTACCACAATTATTCTTTCAATTTTATAAAATGATCGAGACCCAATTTGGTAAACGAATTAAAAAACTAAGGTCTGACAAGGTACATAATATGTCAATCAACGTCTTTCCCATTTTATTCAAGATCAGGGCATGATTCATGAACTTACTTGTATAGATCCCCCCTCAACAATATGGGGTTGCCGAGTGGAAGAATCGTCATCTTCTTGAAGTTGCTCGTGCCTTACTTTTTTAAACACATGTATCCAATTGCTGCTGGGGAGATGCCATTCTTACTGCAGCCTTCTTAATAATGTAAGTCTTATTCACTCAATGACTTCATTCTTTTCCTCTGTTCCCACTATGCAAAGTCTTCAGCCATGAGTGTTTGGGTGTGTTGTCTTTGTTCATATTCATAAACATCATCGCAGTAAGTTAGATCTTAGGGCTCTCAAATGTGTCTTCCTTGGTTATGCTCCTGATAAGAAAGGTTACAAGTGTTATCATCCTGCCAGTCGGAAATTTTTTGTTTCTATGAATGTCACCTTTCATGAATCTGAGCCTTTTTTCCCAAGTCCTCATCTTCAGGGGGAGAGCAGTTCTAGCAGCTCCTCAGCAGATCCATCACCTTCCTTCTTTGAGTCTGGATCTTCCATGTCTACTCCTATATCACTTTCTACATATTTTCGTCTTGTTTCTAATCCTCCTGTGTCTGATTCATCCAATATACCAGAAATACGGAAGATCGTGACACTTGATTTGGTATATCACAGGAGAAAATAGCACATACTACTTCACCAGCATCCTCAATCGTTTAAACCACTGGTAAGTTTTGAACCTCTTGTTTCTGAACCTAATATTAGTGCTTCTGATGACTTACCCATTGCCCTTAGAAAAGGAAAAAGATCTTGTATCCAACACCCTATATCTTATTTTATCTCTTCTACTAACCTTTTTGTGTAACACAAAAGCTTTGTTCTATTTCAATCCCAAAATTAGTCCATGAAGCATTAAAAAATGAGAATTGGGCTTTAGCCATGCAAGAGGAGATGAATGCCTTGGAGAAAAATAAAATATGGGAGGTTGTTGATAAACCTAATGGAAAGAAAGCAGTCGGGTGCAAATGGGTTTATGCCCTAAAGTATAATTCTGATGGTACTCTAGAGAGATATAAGCCTCGGTTAGTAGCCAAGGGTTATACTCGGACCTATGACATTGATTATGAAGAAACTTTTGCCCCAATTGCAAAGATTAATACTGTGAGAGCCTTGTTGTCTCTTGCTACCCATTACAACTGGGATATAAATCAATTTGATGTGAAGAATGCTTTCCTTAACGGTGAGTTAGAAGAAGAGGTCTACATGGAAATCCCACCTGGCTTTGACTCTTTGGATGAAGAAAATAAAATTTGTAGGTTAAATAAGGCCTTGTATGGATTGAAGCAGTCTCCTCGTGCCTGGTTTGGAAGATTTTTTAAGGTTATGATAACCTTATGATACAAACAAAGTCAAGGAGATCACACACTTTTCTTTAAGCACTCCCAAGATGGGAAGCTCACTATGCTCTTTGTGTATGTTGATAATATTATTATATCGGGTGATGATATTGCAGAAAGACATATTCTACAAGCACGACTAGCCTTTGAATTTGAAGTTAAAGACCTTGGGAGATTGAGATTTTTTCCAGGGATAGAGGTAGCTCATTCAAAGGAAGGAATTTTTATCAGCCAGAGGAAATATGTCCTTGATCTTCTTAAAGAAATAGGAAAGCTTGGATGTAAACCCTCTAGTACTCCTATTGAGCAGAATCACAAGATATGTTATGAAAATGAGAGTCCTCCAGTTGATAAAAGACAATATCAACGGATAGTTGGGAGACTGATATATCTAGCTCATACTAGACTAGACCTAGATTATGCTGTTAGTGTTGTCATTCAGTTTATGCATTATCCAAAAGAAAAACACATACAGGCAGTGGAGAGAATTCTTCAGTATCTTAAAGCCACTTCAGGTATAGGACTGTTATTTCGACGTGATGGTAATATCTCTTTAGAAGTTTATACTGATACCGATTATGCTGGATCCGTGAATGACTGTTGATCTACCACTGGTTATTGTATGTTTCTTTGTAGTAACTTAGTAACGTGGAGGAGTAAGAAACAAGATGTGGTTGTCAGGTCAAGTGCAAAGGCTGAATTTCGAGCTATGACTCAAGGGATTGTGAACTATTATGGTTAAAAATTATATTTGATGATCTCAAAATAAGATGAGAAGGACCCATGAAGCTGCTATGTGATAAGAAGTTCGCCATTTGTATACCTCATAATCCAGTTCAACATGATCAGACTAAGCATATTGAGGTCTGTAAAGAACCTTGGGATACACCACCCCAAAAGCTAGCTCAAAGGGTGGGAATTCCCAAGGCCTTATAAAGGCCACATTAGTTGCACATACAACCAATGTGGGACTATATATCTCAACATGCCCCCTCACACAAGAGCCCATTGGGCTTGAAGAGTGGACAATGCAACAGGCCCAGCCTACCTGTGCTAAGAAACGCCACAAGAGAAAGTGGGGGGCGGTGAGGCTCTGATACCATGTAAAGAACCTTGGGATACACCACCCCAAAAGCTAGCTCAAAGGGTGGGAGTGCCCAAGGCCTTATAAACTCCACAAGAGTTGCACATACAACCAATGTGGGACTATATATCTCAACACGCCCCCTCACACGAGAGCCCATTGGGCTTGAAGAGTGGACAATGCAACAGGCCCAGCCTACCTGTGCTAAGAAACGCCACAAGAGAAAGTGGGGGGCGGCGAGGCTCTGATACCATGTAAAGAACCTTGGGATACACCACCCCAAAAGCTAGCTCAAAGGGTGGGAGTGCCCAAGGCCTTATAAAGGCCACATTAGTTGCACATACAACCAATGTGGGACTATATATCTGAACAAGGTCGATCACCATTTTATAAAAGAGAAACTTGATAGCGGGTTAATCGTCACTCCATTTATTCCCTCTGGGCGTCAATTAGCTGATGTTTTGACAAAGGGACTTTCTCCAGATAGATTTCAAGAACTACTAGCAAGCTAGGAATGATAAATATCTATTTCCCAGTTTGAGGAAGAGGGTTGTAAATAATTATTATTTTATTTATTATTTATTGTTGTATTCTAGAATCTTCTTTTGAGCTTAGCCTAATAGGTCAGTTAGTCTCTTTAAATAAAGAACCCTTTGTACAATTGTAATAACAATTCAATAATATATTTTCCTTCCATTTTTCAAGTAATTCTGATATAGGCAATTGATTCGTATCACTCAGCTTTTGTATCGTATCGTATCGCATGATACATATCGTGTATTGTGCGGTACTAACAAGTATGGTTTTGACTGTCTATAACTTTGAAGCAAACAGTACCAATTGCATTGAGACCAGCACCGACGAAACCACCATCTTTGGAAGTCCAGGTCAAGACACACAAGCAAATTTCAGGTCATTAGTGTGCAAGGCCGCTACAGTTTCTGACTTGTCACTTTTTTTTTCTGGGTTAAGTCTGAGGCATACAATTGTTCTTGGAGTTGATTGGTGCAAACAGGGGGGTTTTGACTGTCTATAACTCTGAAGCAAATAGTACCAATTGCATTGAGACCAGCACCAACGAAGTCAGGTCAAGGCACACAAGCAAATCTCAGGTCATTAGTGCGCAAGGCCACTATAGTTTCTGACTTGTCACTTTTTTCTGTGTTAAGTCTGAGGCATCACCAAGTGAGTTGGTTGGTGCAAACGGGTTGTTGCGTACCTAGGGAGTTGGTTGTTGCAACAGTCATCACCAAGTGTTTTGTGCATTCCAGATTTGGTTCTTTGCAATTTTCTGGTAACTTTGATCCTTAGAAATTGTTTTATCTGTCTTGGGAGTTATGGTTTGTTGGATGATGTGAGATCCAGGTTGTAAAGATCAGTTGGGAGAAGTTCATGTTTGCCACTAAGGAAAAAAGTACAGAACCTTTAGGAGCTGTGTCATGTATTTGTCCCATGTGCTGAGGATAAGTAGGGGGAAGATTGAGGTGGCCACTAAAGATCAAAGTTTAAGACTTCTTGAGCTGTCTGCCAAGGACATAACCAAGTTTTGTAAGTTAGGGGGAATGTTAATATTATTGAAAATGATTAAGGTAAGTCTTATGACTCAAGAAAGTGTTGATCCTAAAATCAGGGGTGATTAATTGGGGACTGGTTCTTCTGACTAATTGGAATTTGATTGAGGGTCGATTAATTGACAACTATACATTTATATACTAAGGGGGCTAACCGGAGCCGTGGTAAAACTGTTCTTTTAGGACTGAAAGGTCATGGGTTCGAATTCAGGAAATAACCTCTTTGCAATTATATAAGGGTAAGGCTACGTACAAGGATTTCGTCCGCCCCACACTCGCTAGTCGGGTTTAACGGGTAGTGTTTTTTTTTTTAGTACATTTATATACTCTTTGCTTTAGTATAAATACAGGTGTTGGCTAGAATCTATGTATACTTCAACATGCAATTTTTTCATTGTCTCCCTTTGTTTATCTCTCGCTCTCTCTTGCATACCCTTGTTTTCTCTCTCTAATGGGTTTCACATTTTTGCAAGAAAAATTTCTTCAAAGGAAAAAAATTGATATTATTTCAAAGGGTACTCCTAATGTTTCTAAATTAGGAGGTTCTATTAATGAAAGAAGAAATTATATTAAAGAGTAAATTGAAGGGGTACAAGTAAATTTCATAATACGATTGTCCTTCTAAACATAAAAGAAATAAAAAAGAGTACCATACATGCAAACAAGATGTCACTTTGTTAGAATATCTAGAAAATATCTCACGATATTATTATTGTATCTTATAATATTTTGGAGTATCTTAGATGATCTTTTAGGTGGGATTTCCATATTTCATTATATTTTATGTTTTGTTTCCTTATTTTACTAGGTTTAGGACTTTAGTTTAGTATGAATAGGGTTAGTGCATTGTATTTTATAGCACATCAATACACACCATATTATCAATATTATATTATATTATTTTCTAGAGGGCGAGCTTGGAGCAGTAGTAAAATTGTTTTTTGTGATTGAAAGGTCATGAGTTCAAATTTGAGATACAGTCTCTTTACAAATATGTAAGGGTAAGGTTGTATACAAAGATTTTCCTCACCTCTACTCATGCTAGTCAGGATTTAATGGGAAGTGATATTTATATTATATAATTCGGAGTTTGTTATCACTTTTCTTCCATCTCTATCTAAATCCCAATAATTTCATCACAATCCAATAAAGTTGTTATGCAGCCCCCTATGTATTTTTCATTAGGTGATTCCCTTATGTCTTGTTTGGTTTGAGGTAATGTAATGGAAATAGGAATAGGAATAGGAATAGATCATTCCCATTCACATGTTTGAGAATGAGCATTACCATGGGACTGAGCATTCTGATTTCTGACAGTGGTAGAGGTAGGTATTACATCACAAAAATGATGAAATCATCATTTGATTTCACCAAAACAACACAGGTATCAAAAATGGCCAAACCTAGGTGGCTCAACCTTTTCATTCCCAATTTTTTGGACCTATCTATATTTTTTAGGCTCAAAAAGTCATTTCATGAATCAACTATCCGAAAAAGTTGTTGGGCTTTACACACGAATGGCTTTAACGCCTCCTCACGCAATAGTATTTTAGTATGGATATTGCTACTCGCACGAGCATTCTATCTTGGGTTGAAATTTAACTTTAATTTACAAGGATGGGGACAACAAGATTCAAATTCTAGATCACATGGTCATAGAGGCTTTAATACCACGTCATGAAACAACTATTCCAAAAACTTAAGCACTTGGACAAAGTCTCATGAATGATTTCATATCAAACTGATTGGCCCAAACTGGGTCAAGGCAAGCCTATTTAACCAAAATAAAAAATAAAAAATCCTAGATTATTATTTTGTTGAGAATGGAAAAAGATATTAACCTCATCATTATTGTATGCATTTTATGCTTCAATCAATAGGATTCAAGTTTCTGCCACCCTCCAAATTTCAGGCCAAGTTCTGCCATTATCCATATCATAGGAAAATCAAGCTTTGGAGTTGTTAATGCCTTTTATAATTTTCTACTTGCCGCGGGCATTTTACTCTTACATTTATTTTTTCTTGAATGATAACTCTGTCCTTATCCCCATTTTAAAAACTCAAGATTACATCAACATGAAAACTGACATCAAGTCAAAGTTAACTCGAGTCCAGTTTGAGTTGCTTAGGTCATTTGCTCTGCTAGTTGATTGGCCGAATTATTCGCACATTTTTGTATTAATTGAGTATCTGACATCCCCAGCATGTTCTATATCCACTAGAAGCATTTTGATACTTAATACCTTCGTCTTTGGTCTAATAGTGTTTTCAACATGGTGCAGGAGAAGTTGAATAGATCTCTGATGGTTTGTCAAGATAAGTATGAGGCAGCTAAGCTCCAGCAGAAAACTGGGGCTATGAATGATTTGGTTTCTTGTGCTGACCAATCAATCCAAGAAAGCATTAAGATGCTACCACTTCTTACCAATAAGTTGAAAGCTTCCTTTGGCATTAGAGACAACGATCCCTAGTAGCTTATTTTGTTCTTCAAAACATTTAACTTAAGTTGCAAATGAAAATTGGTGCAAGACATTATTATTCTGTAACTCATTATGGATTACAAGAGATAGCATACTTTATTCCTGTAGCTAGAATGCTGGCGCATCTTGATTCATCAATGACTTGAAGGAATAATTATGGATGAAACATTGGTATTTTCAAATTGAATATGCATGTCATTGGGTTTTCTTTCACTACTTTTCAAACATAGCTTTGATTATTGAATGATGATTCTCATGTTTGTATTTCATTAATATGATACAACAAGCAGATGAAGTGTGGGAAGGTTGCATTACAAACAGGTTGTAAGTATGATCTTTAATATGGGAGTGTTTTCAGTCCACGATGGATGTGGTAACTTGTAAGAGGGGAAATTTAGCTGCACACTGTCAATATTATTACCTTTGAACCGGTGATGGATCCGGTTGAGATATTGGGTTAATATGTCATTGATTCAATTAGTAGGTGATTGGTTTAAGCCAGTGAATTATTGATTCAATTGGTGGATTATTAGTTTAACTTGTTAAATTAAATTTATATTAAATTATATAATAAATATATTAAATGATGTATCTTAAACAACAATACAATAGAGCATAGTTATAAGTGCTATTATGCCCATTTCCATAACAAGAGTTTGACTTCCAGTACTGGTTGCTACATGTGAAATATTTATGCTGCAGTGCTATTATATTGGTCATGCCCATGACAAGGATTTGCGGGCCAATCGGTCGGACCGAGAGGTTCGATCCGGTTTTAATAACAGTTGCTTAAAGTTGCATGTGGCTAGCAGCCTACCCCACCAGTACTGGGCCATGAAAAGCACAGTTGCTTTAGTTGTTATTTTAGTAAAATATTTTTTGGGTCTTTAAAAAAAAATTAAGAAATCTATTTTAATTTAAAAAAAAAAAATCGATTTGTGATTCCTCTTAAATTCAAAATAAATTCAGTTAGTCAAAATTATGGTTCTTTTAAAATTCAAAGAAGATCCGTGTTAGTTCCTCAAAAGAACAAACATGAGTTTATTTTGAATTTCAAAGAGATCACGAATCCACTTCCTGTGATATTTGTTGAGAATGCAAAAGATACTTTACTCTTTTTATTTTTGAAGCCCTTCTAAAATACACAAGAAAAATATTTTTTGAAAATATTTTTTATTAAAAAATTATATTCAAAACAAGCAGTTCATAGACTTTTTTTTAAAGCTAACTCAATCTTAATTACCTTTTTGAAGCGGGTTGGTTCCTCCCGATATTTCTTCAAGCTTTGACTCTTTGAGCTGATTATGAGACTAATCTAAACATGCGTGAGTCAAGGATAAAGATATTTATACTTCCTCTAAATTTGACATATGGAAAATGAACCAATACCCTTTATTTTTCAATTATTCAGTTCATTTACTACCAACTGAGCTATCTTTAATCAATTGATAGAACTTTTGAAAATAGTTTTTTATATGGAATGTTACCCATAATAAAAAATACTCTATCGTATTCACTAGAATAGAGTCCATAATAAATTGAGGGAATTTTTTTTTTTTTTTTCACCTGTTATGAAATTATCTTCTGCCATCTTAAAACAATATTATTTTGGATCTTAAAAATTAAAGAAATTAATGTTGCAGTATAGTAATAAAATTTTTAAAATATTTTTTTTACTCAGAGAGATATAAGAAACACTAAATCCATTTTCCCACCAAAATAATACATGTTTTCTTTCATATTATAATTAAGTCATCAAAAAGTGCCTTAAATAAGAACTTTCCAAGCAGAGATAACAAGCACCCCCAAGCCACCGCTAGCATCAGAGTTGCACCGGGTGTAGTCAGCACTCATTAGAGCCATCCACAGGTGATAACTTACTTCCTTATCCATATTCCTTTTCCTTCAACAACCAACGCAACAAAAGCACACACTCTAACAACTCTCTGACATTCAATGAAATCCGTTTAGCGTTATAATTTTCTTCGAATTTGAAAAAAAGAAAAGAAAAATTATCTCACTTTGGTGGGTTAGAACCAAAAAAAGACGTATATGCTCAATTTTTCTGTTCTAGGCTAAACATAATGATGGGTTCAGCTTGTGTTTCTCTATTTTTATTTATGTATTATTTTACATACTCTGAGAGTACTTAACTCGAATATGTGTATTTGAACTATGCTGGATTATATATTTTGAATCATTAGGGGTGTGAAAAAAACCAAATGAATCGAACTGAACTAAAACTGATTCAAACAGCACCAAAGGAATCATTTTTTTCCTTTTTTGAACTGGTTCAAGAACCTAGCATTTTTTCTAACCGGTTCAGTTGAAGAACCAAATTACTTTACCAATTAGGTTTGGTTCGGGCTACAAACCGAATCGAATCGAACTGAACCATATTCACTCTTAGGAGTATGAAAAATCAAATGAACCGAATAGCAAACCAAACTAAATTGCATCATATTTTTTCTAAATCAGTTTAAAAACCGAACCATTTTCTCCGAAACTGTTCAATAATCGAATCACTTTAAATCCGGTTTGGTTTGCCGAACTAAACCACTTTTCTGGTTCGGTATAGAAAACCGAACCGAACCGAACCATGTACACCCCTAATAGCTACTGCTTTATGCTGCAGTTTAGACTTACAAGTTATAAATTCTGATCTTATAAAAGACATTTGCTATCAGCAAGTACTATGCCCAACTTAAAAATTTGAAATTGCTTTGCTTATGTTCAGTTATATTCTATTTGACACTTTGAATATTTCTGGTGTTTTCTATTTTTGTGTCATGGATTTATTCATTGCAATGGTCAATGGGGATGATTCTCTCATCTAGATTGAGGTAGTTTAGTTGATGACTGTTGAATATAGCTAGGCTATTAGACTAGACTTAGTGGATTATGTTTCCCTATTGAATATAGCTGGTTTACAAATTGCCATGGTGTTTTGAAAGGGGTCATTATATGAATATGGAGTTATGTCAAATAGTTCAGCATGTGTCTGATGGATGATTTGTATGGATGATTTGTTTAAGCAGTATGAATGACTACATGACATGTTATCTTACAGCTTACAGGGTGCAATTTTTATCCCAAAGAAAAGAACTTATATAGTTTCCTAGAACTAGGTGTATATTTAATATTCTTCTGGAACACCCTCTTTCTTTTTTGTGGGGTGGATGTCACAGGTAGAAACAGAAAGAGGCTGTTCTCTTGGCCAAAGAAAAAGGCTGGATTTTAATCCGAGAAATATTGTGGTGAAAATTGAAAGAAAGAATGCATGTGGCATCTCAAACCTTCATCTTAAATCTAACTCCACAGGTTAATCATTTTCTCATTTTCTTCCTTTTTTCTTTTTTTTCTTTTTAAACTTCATGTTTTTGCATCACCTTGTTCTTTCTATATTGAAAGAGGCCAGTGATGGCAGTTTGTTGCTTGTTCTTTAGTAACATAAATATTTGTTTGCAGATGACCGGATACAAGCAGAGAGTCGATGAGCCTATTGTGCTTAGCCAGAACTGTAGACGTTCCAGTCTTTCATTGAAGCTTAGACATGGTGAAAGAAATATTTTAAAAAGGCACTGCTGCTTTCTGAATTTTATCTCAAATGGCATGGTGATGAGTTTGAGCAAATCCTGTATAATATAACAAAACCATTTAAATTTCGCACATAATGACATGACAAAGCTTGGGGCATTGCAATATTTCTCCTTCTCATTATAGTATCAATGTTCTTGTTATCTGACTCAAACATCACTATCTTGACAGTTTTGGCCCAGTCATTCCTTGATTGCCTCACAGCACTATGCATGTCATTTTTTTTTTTGAATCTGTTTGAATGATTTAGATTCATTTTGAAATGCCATTTCTTTTTTACAGGGAACATATTAAATGTCTTCCTACTGCTTCTGTATTATCAGGTGCCAGTTTTTCTTTTCTGGCAGTATGCATTCTTCAATCCTAAATCATAATTTATATATTAATAATTTCTCCTGGACTTTGATTTCCTTGTTGTAGATGCCCAAATTTCTTCTACTCAGTTTGAGGAGTTCTCTGTCTCTGTTGCTGACATCAATGATGTTAAAGAATTGAAGGTATCATACAATATTTAATTGAAATAAGTGTGAATAATAAGAGCACAAGAGGAAAAAAATCCATAGAAGATAGACAAAGAGGGGGAAACGGCATAATTTGGAGGAGAGAGAAAAACAAGGATAGCTCAGAATTTATAAATGGGGTGGGGCTATGGTTGGAATGAGTCCTTTTCTGAGAGCAATGAGTGGACTTTAGGGAGAGACTTGATTCATGGTAGGTAAAGGCACTGCAGCAGAAGGGCGTGTTAGGGATGCTTGTAGGGGCCAGCTGAAGACAGTGGTGATAAATCCAATTCAGAGGAGAAGGAGGTCATCAGCAACATCAGTAGTTGGAGTACAAAATGGGGTAGTCTCAAAAAATCATTTTCCGAAGTGAGATAGGCAATTGTGGATTGGTGTCTGGTGAATAAGAATGGTGCCTTTTTTGAAGAGTTAACGCGAGAATAGCCCAAAAATGCATTTGGTTAACTTGGCAGGGTTTTAATCGTCATGTTGTAAGAGTTAAAACAGAACATGTACAAACAAAAATGCGGGGAGGAAGCATGTAAATAAGATGTAAAGCTTCTAGATTTAAAACATATAAGTTGAACTTATGTAATACTGTTTGAACAGCTCTATTTGCTCATGAAGTACAGCTGCAGTGTAACTAATTATTTAGTTATATATGCTTGATATCTACATTATTCAACGATAAGCATATACAATATCATGATTTTTCTCAAAAACATAAAGTCTTTTAACAAAAAGATGGAGTGGAGAGGAGCATATGTAGTTTTTCTGTTAAATTCTTTTTAAATATTTTAGCAGCACTTATGTTCTAATAATGAGCAATGGCCTGTTTAATGTCCATCATCACATTTAACTTTTAAATTATGTATTCATGATTGCCATATGCTCATGAATTTAAAATTTTGAACACTTTTAACTCTTTTGTCCAGATGAGGGTAGAAGTATCTGGAAACAAAACTCAAAGGATCTTTGATGATGTCCTTAAAAAAATGGTTGCAGCAGCACAACCGATCCCAGGATTTCGAAGAATAAAAGGAGGTAAAGTATTTACTTGAATTTGGAATTGAAGAGCACTCTGTAGTCTGTAGTTTTATTTGTGTATTGGGTATACTATACAAAAACAATGTATTTGCTGCAGTTACTTCAAGTCACAAGCACCTGGCATGCATAATCATAATAATTTTCATACGATGTTGGCATTGTTTGATCCCCTTGATTTGTTCACATTTGTCATGAATTTTGGTGGTGACTCATGTTCAATTTGTTTCAACACCATTGAATGATGTTATTTAGATGCATAATTGTGTTTGGTTAGGAGGATTATATCCCTTATCCAAAGAGAAAAGAGAAGAAAAAGAAGATAAGAAAGAACTTTTTTATGTATATCTTGTATATGATAATTATAACCAGTCATTTTTTATTTCTATTTATTTTGCAGGTGGCCCAAAATCTTTTTTGAATTTGTAGTTTACAAATTCTGTATAACATGATTTTTTATTATTTTTTGTCAAGCATTGTAACTATGTTCTGAAAGCATGAAATTTCTTGTAGCTTCTCAGTAAATATCGTGAGAAAGGTTCTTGGAATAACAATGAATTTGAAATGTAATGAATCTTAATCTATTCCTAAGATAATAACAAAAAAATAGATAGGCTGATGGAAAGATTGACTGATCATGATATTATGAGTAGAGATGCTAGGCAGCTCTTTATTTCTTAAACTTAAGTCTTCACTAGAAAAGAAGATTTGTATATTATTGGATTGTAATATATTTGTACAAGAGTTCTCTATTTAAAGAGATTAAAAAACCTAATGGGCTAAGCCCAAATACACTGATAGAGTATTCTATTACAAAATAATAATAAAATAATTCTATTATTTACAATACTCCCCCTCAAGCTGAGGAATAGATATTTATCATTCCCAGCTTGGTAGTAAGTTCCTGAAATCTATCATTAGGAAGATCCTTGGTTAAGACATCAGCCAATTGACGACCAGAAGGAATCTATGGAGTAGTGACCAGTCCACTGTCTAATTTCTCTTTAATGAAGTGGCGATCAATCTCAATATGTTTGGTTCGATCGTGTTGAACTGGATTGTGGGCTATACAAATAGCTGACTTGTTATCACAAAGTAACTTCATAGATCCTTCATATCTCACCTTGAGATCATCTAAAATGATTTTCAACCATAATAACTCACAGATACCTTGAGCCATAGCTCGAAATTCTGCTTCTGCACTTGATCTAGCAACCACATTTTGCTTTTTACTTCTCCATGTTATAAGATTTCCACAGAGAACATACAATATCCCGAAGTAGACCGTCGGTCAGTCACGGATCCAGCATAATCGGCGTCTGTATAAACTTCTAAGGATAATTTTCCTCCTCTCTGGAACAATAGTCCTCTACCTGGTGTGCCTGTCAAATATTGGAGAATCTTGTCCACAACTTGCAAGTGTTTCTCCCTCGGATCATGCATAAATTGGCTAACAACACTAACTGCATAAGCTAGATCAGGTCTAGTATGAGCTAGATATATCAATCTGCCCACTATTCGTTGATATTGTCCTTTGTCAACTGGAGAGCTCTTATTTTCACTTCCTAGTCTGTGATTCTGCTCAATCGGAGTACTGGAAGGTTTACACCCAAGTTTTCCTGCTTCTTTAAGGAGGTCAAGAACATACTTCCTTTGACAAATAAATATCCCTTACTTCGAATGAGCAACTTCTATCCCAAGAAAATATCTCAATTTTTCAAGATCTTTAACTTCAAATTCAGCAGTCAGTCTTTTTTTCAGAGCACATTTCTCATCTATATCATCCCCTGTTATAATAATGTCATCAACATAAACTAGAAGGATAGTGGTCTTACCTTCCAGAGAATGTTTAAAGAAAAGTGTATGATCCCCTTGGCTTTGCTTGTATCCCAATGAAAGCATGACTTTGGTAAATCTTCCAAACCAAGTACGCGGGGATTGCTTCAAACCATACAACGCCTTCTTTAACCTGCAAACTTTATTATCTCCATTTGTAGAGTTAAATCCTGGTGGAATCTCCATGTAAACCTCCTCTTCTAATTCACCATTGAGAAAGGCATTTTTCACATCAAATTGGTTCAAATCCCAGCTAAAATGAGCAGCGAGGGACAATAGAACTCTTACAGTGTTCATTTTGGCCACTGGAGCAAATGTTTCTTCGTAATCAATGCCTGTGTGCATCCCTTGGCTACCAATCGAGCTTTATACCTTTCAAGAGTCCCATCAGAATTATACTTCGGAGTATACACCCATCTGCACCCTACTGTCCTTTTTCCATTTGGCCTGTCAACAACTTTCCATGTATTATTCTTCTCCAATGCATTCATCTCCTCATGCATGGCTTGAACCCAATTATCATCCTTTAATGCTTCATGTACTGATTTCGGGATTGAAATGGAGTCAAGTGCTGTAATAAAACTCCTATGCTGCATAGAAAGATTCTTAGAGGAGACAAAATGAGAAATAAGATATTGGGTACAAGACCTTTTCCCTTTTCTTACAGCAATGGGTAAGTCATTAGAATTAATATCAGGCTCAGGAATAAAAGAAGTAGTGTGTTCAGTACTTACTAGCGGTTCAGGCGATTGCAGCTGCTGTTGGGGCAGTGTGGGTTGTTTCTTCCTTTGGTACAATAGTTTGGGTGTCCCAGCTTTGCATACTTTCTGTCTATCAATAGGAGGCATGTCACATGAGGAATCAGATGAATTTTCAACCTCAGCAATTAAGTCTTCCTTCTCATTGTCATGTAGTGTAACTACTGGAGTAGAAGATATAGGTAACAGAAAGGGAGACTCAGACTCGAAGAAGATGGATGAAGCTTCTACACTATTCTCCCCCTGAAGCTGAGGTGTAGAAAGTAAGACTCAGATTCATGGAAGCTAACATCCATAGAGACAAAGAATTTACGACTTGGAGGGTGGTAACATTTGTATCCTTTCTTGTTGGGAGCATAACCAAGGAAGACACACTTAAGGGCTCTAGGCTCTAATTTACTCCGATGTTGTTTATGGATATGGACGAAGGCAACACATCCAAAGATACGAGACTGGAGACTTTGCATAATTGGAACAGAAGGAAAAAAAGAGGTCATGAGATGAACAGGACTTACATGGCCAAGGACTCTGGAAGGCAAGCGGTTGATCAAATAGGCTGCAGTTAATAAGGCTTTTCCCCAGTAAGAGTTGGGTACAGATGTCTGAAATAATAATGCTCTGGTGACTTCAAGCAAATGTCGATTTTTTCTTTCAGCAATCCCATTCTGTTGAGGGGTATCCACGCATGTGAGCTCATGAATCATACCCATATCTGAAACGAATTGTGACAGATGCTGGTTGACATACTCCGTACCATTGTCAGATCTTAATCTCTTAATACTTTTACCAAACTGTGTCTCAATCATTTGATAAAATCGAATAAACAATTCTGGTACTTCTGACTTATCTTTCATCAAGAATATCCATGTCACCCGAGTGCAATCATCAATAAAAAAACAAACCACCTAGCACCTGAAATATAATGTACTTTAGAAGGGCCCCAAACATCTGAATGGATAAGAGTAAAAGGCTCAATGCTCTTTATTGAACTTGAAGGAAAGGGCACGCGGTGGTGTTTTGCAAGCTCACAAACATCACAATGGAAGGAGTCAATTGCCTGATCCTTAAACAAAGAAGAAAACATTGACTTTAATAAGCCAAATGACGGGTGCCCCAGGCGTTTGTGATGAAGCCAAATCTGTGAGAATGAAGTAGACGAGTGATGACTCATCAATAATTGATTCCCGGTATCCCTTGTAGCATGCTCTGGAATGAGATAGTACAACCCACCTTGCTCCTTAGCAACTCCAACCGTCTTCCCCGTGGTGATATCCTGAATAACACAATGGGTAGGAAAAAAGTGACAGCACAATTCATGTCAGTTGTAAGCTTATAAGTGGAGATAAGATTTGTAGAGAGCTGAGGAACATAAAGAGCATTCTTTAAAAATAAGGAAGGTTGAATTTGAATGTTACCAGAACCCATAACTGATTTGTGGGATCCATCAGCTATAGCTATAGTACGGATACCACTAGTAGGGTGATATGAAAGAAAAGAATCAGCTAGACAGGTCATATGATCAGTTGCACCAGAATCCATATCCATGAATTTTTGAAATCAGTGCAAGATGTAAGAAGAGATGTAGGGTGTGCGATCTTAACAAACATAGTTGATCAGAAAAATAAAAAATATTTTTTTTTGAACAGTACCGGTGAACAGTGCGCGTGAATAGTACCGGTGAATAGTGCGCGTGAACAATAGCGCTGAACAGTGTCGTGAACAGTAGCGCTGAACAGTGCTGTGAACAGTTTTTTTTTTTTGTTTTTTGTTTTTTGAGCTGTTTCGGCCGTCTGATGAAAAGGAAACCTCCGTAGAATGATAGATCTGAGAAAATGGAGTGAAACAGGGGCCCTCACGGTCCAAAAGGTCCCCAGAAATTTTTTCCGACGGCGGCTTTGTGGCAGCGAGAGGCAAATAGGGTTTGATTTTTTTTTAAAAGCGGTGATTTGCGGAAGCAGAGCCCTCAGAATCGAGAGCTCTGATACCAACTAGAAAAGAAGATTTGTATATTATTGGATTGTAACATATTTGTACAAGAGTTCTCTATTTAAAGAGATTAAAAAACCCAATGGGCTAAGCCCAAATACACTGATAGAGTATTCTATTACAAAATAATAATAAAATAATTCTATTATTTACAATATCTTCTCTCTTCCTACAGCTCACTATCAAACCATAAAACTTCTAGATATTACATGCAGGAGTCTTTTTTGTTCACAATTAAAAATGATACTAATAACAAAACAAAAACAGCAACATAACTAGACCAACAATAATAATTATAATGACTGATAAATAAAAATCTATAATGATAAGCATGATAGATGGAGATTTCCATTTATGTCAATTGAGTCCAAAAGATTTTCTTTAAGCTTCCCCATCTTTTTCTTTGTAACTTCATTTTTCTTTCATCAATAAATTTTTACATTTTTCCTGTTTTTGTATGGATGACCAATTGCTGCTCTATCAATTTGAGGACTGCTAGGAAAGACGCCAGATGTAAGTTTTTTTCTTTAATGATTGTGAAGCCATCAATTTACTGATTTCAGTTTCTGTTAGCTCTTATTGTCATTGGAATGCCGATAGAAACCCAGTGGTTTTCCTGTCTCTTCTTCCCATTTATAGGTATATATAATGCCACTCAAAGCCTGGATGTGATAGGTCAAACAAAACAATTTTGAGACTCATTTATTAGGTTCTGTTACGTTGAAGGCGCTGAATATTTATTTTTCAGGGTTATAGATAGAATTGAGAAAATTATAGGGACCTTTTGTGGCTTGTTATGGATAAAAAAGGATGATTTTCTTTAGGTAATCTGGTCCTTAAAAACCATCATTCTTTGGGTAAGTAAATTATGGAGCTTACCCTTCAGTCATTAAAGGAGTGGGATGGATACTACTATGCAAACTAACTAACAAGTTTATCCTTAAAGTCGGACATGATTATTGTGTTCATTTTTGGGAGTTCCTGCTTTTCCTTATTTGCATAGTTTTCTTGTGTTGCATGAAACTCTTAAGATTCCTGCCATTTAGTAATAGTGACCAAAGTATCTCTAGGAAAAAAAAATAAAAATTCTCTTTTGAAAATTTTATTAATTATTGGGAGGCTGTAAAATTGGTTGTGATACCCAATCTCCTTGATTCTGCTTATTTTTCATGAGAATTGGGTATAAGAGCTTGCTAATTTGATGCTTTTTTTTCCCATGTTTCTTCGGTACTTTTAATCTTAATGTGATGCTTTTATTGGATGCTTAATTTGATACTTTTATCCATTCTCCGAAAAGTGGTGCTTTCCATTTTCTATTCCCATTTGAATTTACAATGTACCCTTTATAGCTTTAGCAGATGATGTAAATCATTTGTTGCAAACGATAGTAGTTTACAACAGGATTATGAAACGTATTTTCTGAGCTTGCTGACTTCATAAAGCTATACCACCTAGCACCTAATATTTTTTTACACAAACTTCGGAGGATATATTTCATATATGATTTTTTGATTTCAAAAGCCAATGGAATATAGAACTTCATATACAACTATTAGCCACTCAGTAGGAACAAATAGTCACTTAATAAAAAGCAATAACCATTATCTGATGTAGAACATCATTTACAATTATTAGCCACTCCTTAGAAAAAAATAACCAGTCAACATAAGGCAATAGTCATTCATAAATTTCTTTTTAACTTCATTTTGTTGGGAACTCGGTTCCCTCAAGCTCGGCTAAGCAGCCTTTGCGCGGAAGTCAATCAGCAAGATCCTGATCTCGGATCTCGACAATACCTCGGCCTGAACTTCACCAGGTCGGGCAGCGCAGCGGAAAATCAAAACGAAAAACGGGAGAGAGAGAAGAACACAAACAGATTTTAACGTGGGAAAACCTTCTCTAATGAAGAAGTAAAAACCCACGGGACCTAGTCCAGATCAAAAATCCACTATGAAAATAATGGTTACAAAGAATCAAGATTCACCAATGTGGTGGTTAACATAACCTCTCCAACAATGGTGATAGTCAAACTCCCCTAGAGATGTTTCATTCAAACTCTCTCTAGAGATCTCTCAAATACAAAGCATAAAACTTTGCCCAAACAATTTTCTCTCAAATTTCTTATCTCTCTTTTAATCTCTAACCTAGCCTCCACCCACAATTAATGAATATATGGAGGAGGTGAGATCTAGGGTTTAGGGTTTTTAGGAAATCCCTCAATGGGCTTGGGCTTAGCATTGAAGGAGGAAGCCCAACAAATCTCCCCCTCCGACTTCAATGCGTCGGCTTCAGCATCAACTCGGCTCCTTCACAGCAGTCTTCAAATTTTCTTGTTGGAACCGGCTTTGTCATCATGTCGGACCAATTTTGGTCAGTGTGCACTTTGACGAGTTCGAGCTCTCCACCTTCCACCACATCTCGGATCCAGTGATACCTCACATCAATATGCTTAGTATGGGAGTGATAGGTCGAATTCTTCGCAAGATGGATTGCGCTTTGATTGTCACAACCCAACTCGTACTTGTCTTGATCATGGCTGAGTTCCATGAGGAACTTCTTCATCCACAACATCTCTTTACTTGCCTCAGTAGCGGCAATGTACTTAGCCTCGGTTGTCGATAGTGCAACACATTTATGAAGTCTTGATTGCTAAGAGACAACTCCTCCAACAAATCTCATCATGTATCTCGTCGTCGATTTCCTCAAGTCCGAATCTCCCCCTTAATCAGAATCCGAGTAGCCTTGCAACTCGGCTTTGCCTTCTCCAAATCGGAGGCATAAATTGGTCGTACCTCGGAGGTACTTGAAAATCCACTACACTGCTTCCCAGTGCTCTCTGCCGGGGTTTGACAGATACCGGCTTACCATTCCAACAGCATACGCCAAGTCGGGTCTAGTGCAAACCATTGCATACATCAAGCTTCCGACGGCGGATTGGTACGGGACCTTCATCATCTCATCTTTGTCTTCATCAGATCTCAGACATAGCTTCTGATTCAGCTTTATGTGTCCGGCTAAGGGGGTGCTCAATGTTTTGGCTTTGTCCATGCTGAATCTCTTCATAATCTTCTCAATATACTTCTCTTGACTCAGCCACAGTAGCTTCTTCTGTCTATCTCGGATAATCATTATTCCGAGTATCTGCTTTGCAGGGCCGAGGTCCTTCATTGCGAAGGACGAGCTCAACGCCTTCTTCAGGGCGGATATCCTCGATTTGTCCTTCTCTACAATAAGCATGTCGTCAACATATAACAACAAAATCAAAAAATCTCCGACCTTATACCTCTTCACAAATACGCAGTGGTCGGCTTCTGTCTTCTCAAACTTGTGATCAGTCATGAATGATTCAAACTTCTTGTACCACTGCTGAGGTGCTTGCTTCAAGCCATAGAGACTCTTTTTCAATCGACATACCAAGTCTTCTTGGTCTGGAGCTTGGACCACTTATGGTTGCTCCATATAAATTTCTTCTTCTAAACCGTGAAGAAATGTCGTCTTCACGTCCATTTGTTCTACCTCGAGGTCCAAAGAAGCCGCTATGGCTAACACGGTTCGGACCGAGGTCATTTTCACTACAGGAGAAAAAATCTGCTCAAAATCTACACCCTTATTCTGATTGCAGCCTTTCACTACAATCTGGGCTTTGTTTCTTGGCTTCTGCCCGTTCTCTTTATTCTTAATCTTGTAGACCCATTTATTTTTCAGAGCTCGTCTTCCTTCAGGCAACTCGGTCAACTCATAAGTCTAATTCTCTTGCAGAGACTTTATCTCGTCTTGCATTGCCTTTTCCCATTCTTCTTTCTCTATTACAGCCTCATCATAACTCTGAGGCTCACCGTCTTCAGCAACGACGGTGTATTCATCAGATGGGTATCTTTTAGAGGGTCTTCTTTCTCGAGATGGATATCTCGGCTGTTCTTCAGCTCGAGAACCTGGTTCATCATTCTCATCCCGGATCTCAACATCAACTCAAACCTCAGTGTCTTGGTCATCTTCAGCTTGTTGCTGGTCATCAATTTCTTCCTTCTCTTGATTTTCTCCCCTTGCTTCAGCTCGGACAGGAGGGATGGGTTCTTCACGTCTGACAGTAACCTGGACTTTGGGCTTCGAGATGTCATGAATGGTCTCATCTTCATGAAAGATCACATCTCGGCTTCTCACTATCTTCTTATTGATTGGATCCCAAAGTCAAAACCCGAACTCACATCTCGACGAACCAAGATAGATGCATTCTTTTGTTTTCGCATCAAGTTTTTCCCTTTCATCTTTAGGGATATGCACGAAAGCTCGACATCCAAACACCTTTAGTTGATTATAGGCCGTTTTCCGACCTGTCCAGACTTCTTCTGGAATTTCTCCTTCGAGTAGCCGTGATGGTGAGAGGTTGATTAAATCAACAGCAGTTCTGACGGCTTCTCCCCAGAATGATTTCGGCAATCCGGCATTGGATAACATGCTTCGGACCTTCTCTTCAATAGTTCGGTTCATCCTCTCAGCCAGTCCATTCAACTGTGGAGTCTTGGGGGGCGTCTTCTCAAGTCGGATCCCGGCCGCTCTGCAGTATGCATTAAATGGGTCGCAATACTCACCATCATTATCAGATCGGACAACCTTCAATTTCTTGCTAGTCTCCCTTTCAACCATTGCATGAAATTTTTTAAATGATTGGAGTACCTGGTCTTTAGACTTCAACAAATATACTCACACTTTGCAGGAATGGTCATCAATAAATGAAACAAAGTACTGAGCTATTCCAAGGGATTTCTCCGACATGGAGTAGACATCAGTATGGACGAGGTCAAGAATATACCTGCGTTGTCTGGGTTGATCCGGTCTCACAAAAGAAACTCGGCGCTGCTTTCCTGATAGGCAGTGCGTGCAACTCTCCAACGCTTGGCCTTTCAACCCGGTCAGTAATCCTTTCTTGTTCAGGATCTGGAGCCCTTTCTCGCTCATGTGGCCGAGGCGCTTGTGCCATAGCTCCAAGCTAGGTTCATCTCGGACAGAATTGGCTTCTCCGCCATTGATCTTTCCTTGCATCACGTACAAGGAGCCTTCCTTCTTACCTCGGGCCACGACCAAGTTTTCCTTGGCCAGCTTCCATCTAACACTACCGAAGTAGTGCACTAACCCGGCATCGTCAAGCTTGCCTACCGAGATTAGGTTCAAACGCATATCAGGTACATGCCTCACATCCTTCAACACAAGTCGGCATCCGACATCTGTGGTCAGGGTTACATCACCGGCACCAACAATCTTGCTGGTCACTTGATTTCCCATCTTCACGACTCCAAAATCACCACCTCGGTAAGAGGAGAAAAAACCTTTGTGTGGAGTAACGTCGAAGGAGGCACCGAAGTCAACAATCCAGGTGCAGTCATCATATGCAACATTTAAATAATTATCCTCACCAAGGAGGAATATCTCGGCATCCGGGTTGGCAGCCACCGCAGTGGTGCTCTTGTCTTCCCTCTTTTTGGGAATAATCTGATCCGGCTTCACAGAGCCGTTCT